TTTTTTTTTTTTTTTTTTTTTGCTTCATATCGATGGTATTGCACTTGGCACCATGGCAACAAAAGCACTGCCTGTAAATTTAAAACGAACCCAAAGCGACTCCAACATTAAAACCGCTGCAGGTAATTAATGCATGAAAAAGCAATATACATGTATGTAAATTAATATGGAGGGGAATAAAAGATATGTTTAATGGCAGCTGTACTAGCATGTTTTGGATTAAACGTTTTGGATTAAGTTATCATTGCCTTTTTCTTTCGAATAAGTTACCCAAAATACAGAAGGAACCAACCAATATACTCATACGCCTTGCACGCCTACATCTATCACCACATACATGCACATGTATCGATACCACCATTTCAGACAATTGTACTCCCCCCATACTTCTCCCCCAAAGAAAGGCTGATCTGCCGTAGAACTACCTTCTACCAGGATCACAGATTTGATTTTTCACTAGATATTCACAGATATGTCTCCAGCTAATTAATGCCACTATTCTCTGCTGAACAGAATTGCAATAATTAATCTGCAGCTCTAATAGATAGTACTGTAGAGTTACACATGTACTTTACAACAGTTAAATGGAAAGGACACTTACTTCACTGCTTCACTGTTCAAGTTTAATCAAAGTACATGTATTTGTATGTATCCGCACCTTTCATCCCTCTGATATTTCGTGCGAATGTACATCTTTTGCTTCTTCTGTTGTGATACAATACACAGTCACAGGGAGATCCAAATCGACATTGTCTGAACCATTGTACATCGGTACAACAGGTCTTTCTTTGGCTCTTGTGTAATGACGATGAAAACGTATATCGTTTCTAAAAAGACTATACCTAAACATTTCTGCTTCATCTTTTTTGTTTGACATCAACGAGTCGGTCACGTGATTAGGGTCCTTTTAGCGTAGGTTCGAAACACCTCATGGGTAGAAAAGACCTTTTGTCTCAAAAGAAACGATTCATTTTTTATCATCCCCACATCGAACACACGTAATCAATACCAATCTGTTTATACACATTATTTTCAATGCACCCTACACCTGTGGGCTCTCCCTCTTTTTTTAAAGAAAGAATCGGATTCGTCTCCTCCCCCCTTTCCATATAGAGGGGTAAAGAGACACGATGAAGCCAACGAAAGGATTTTTTCTTCTTGTTGTTATTCTAAATCCCCCAATGACAGTCTTAAGACTCAAAACACATGCACCCATTGTCTTTCAACACTTTCTGTAGAGTAATGGCACTTAAAATAGACACTATAACGTAATAATCAGTACACCATACATTACCTTACCCACATGAAGGGGCACCTGTTCCTTTCCCCTTGGTTATTCAAAACAAGCCCATCCATTCCAGATTAAAGGTAGAGAATATATGATATAAGCCACGTATTTAATGGTGTTTTTGTCTATCTTGCGTGGTATGGAATGCTATTCCATCTACACGGATGAATGATTTGGTTACTCATTCCAAGCAATATGAAGATGTAAGCGCGTACATATTCTCCATTTGCCCGTGGGAATAAAAATTATGTCTAAAAACGAAAAAAACATCTTCAAATTAGTATCTTTTACGGCTACTGTTACATTTGTTTACTGTTACATTTACATTTGTAAAAGTTAAATCCAACCAAACAACAGAGATGGCCTCGTGTTATTTTAAATGTTTGAGTTCTCAAACGAATTTCCTAAAAACAGCCTTGAAAAACCACTGAATAAAAAAAACACCCATCTCCAGCCACATACATCATGTAAACCTATTATGACATTCACATGATACAAACATATAAAACTCATCACTTATGTAACATATAAGGGTGGTTACATGTACGCCTACGTTAATCAGTTGTTTCAAACGTGCTTATCTTTTCCTCAGACACACACAAATAGACAAATAGACTCTTAACGATTTATCCATGGGTTTTGTCAGTAAATTTGTCAAAGAAAATACAGTGTGGGATTTTTTTGTGGATTCATCTTAATTTCATTATTTTCTCATATAATAAATATATTTCATGTGATATCCTGACACTGGAACAAAAAACGATCGACATTGTTATAGCGTATTTATAATCTTGATTCGCTGAACGATTCCGTTCTAAAACTATTTGGTATCCAAGTGCAATTTTTCTTACCTCATTTAAAGGACGGAGTCGGTCATTATTTCCCTCGTGCTGCAATCTTGCTGCATTTGACGAAGACTTTGATAAGGCAGGACTAGATGCAGAAGACGCTTCCCTTCCAGAAATTCTTCCCGCCACTCCACCCCAGAAATTGTCTGCTTCATGAGCCATCGGCGCATGCGCAGCGGTGGCAGACGATCTCATAGTCCAATCTTGTTGGTGATGTAGTTGGTAGTCGACAGCCATGGTTCATTGGTCATCTGCAAGGGCGTGGGCGTGGCCAACTCCTTGATAACAGACGAAAAACATTTGGTTAAGAATTAACGTGTTACACCATCATATATACGTGTGCTAAATAAATGACTTGTTCAAAGCAGATTACACATGTTTTGATAATATTGCCTGGCATATGCATAAATGAGAGTTACCCAAAGGAAGTTGCCTCTTACGTCAAAGTCTACCCTTAAGGTCTACCCTGAATTTCTGGTGGGAAATTTGCCCAAGGCGTTGGTGACATACATATAGGTCTACTAAATAACTCATGCAAGAATCTTGATACGGCTTGCAAAGCATTCCAGTGGACAGTTTTCATGGACGTGGGAATGGGCATTTAAAACCCATAGTAAATATAGAATAAGTTAATCAATAAGCCTGAAGTAACAAATACAACAATGGACATTCGCTCCAAGTTATGATCTTAAAAAATATATGTCAAGTAAAATCAACATTTCCCCTTAGGCTTGGTTGGACAGCACAAAGAAGGGCTGTTTTTCTCTCTCGTATCTCTCTCGGACACGCACTCACGAACACGGACGGTCTCATACACGCAGGTGGCTCTGCATATCTTTGTTTTCGTCTTGCATTTTTTTCAGGAAGAGCCTTGCAATAATATTCCGTAACTCCATATCATAAAAATAATAAGAGACTTTTAGTATTTCTGAGGAAGTTGATATTTTGATAATGACCATGGTCATTAAATAAGCATTTATGATAAAAGTATAAAGGCAACAAAACATAATCACAAAACTCCCATTTCAAACTGCCATTTCGCCTTAGAAAAAATATTTCAATTTCGCTTTCACGATGACGATGGCTTTATGTCAGAAAGAAAATGATAAGGCACTCCTTATGAATACTCCCACATGAAAAAGGAAGGTTATCTATAGTTCAGAACGGGGCGCGTGTGTACATTGTGGGGAGTGGATTATGACTTTTCTGCTCAGCAGGTGCGTGAGTGGCATAATGTGGTAGATCTACTGTTGCAGGTAGAGGAACAGGTGGAATATCGGTGTCCGGATATTACATACCTACGAGCTACGGTCTCCACGGGGTCATTGCTGGATTTCTTTATACATTCCACAGGCAATAATGAATAAAGTAAATTCACTGTAGGAATTATATACGAACCACCCTCTCCAACAAACTCCACATATATTAAAGAATGAAGTAATAAATAAATAAATATATAAATTTAATAAATAAATAAATAATGAAAATGCGATCGGTTTAGAGAGTAAAGGTGTTATAACTATTGTATGAAGAGAAATACCAGAAAAGCACCCAGAGAGCTCAGACTTCCACCAAGACAAATAATGTAGGCCTACTAATCGTTAACCACAAATTTGATATTGGAGCAATTTAATCCCTTTTAAGTTAACCCTTGTCTTGAAGTCAGTAAAGTTACATGCATAAGTCCATAACTGAGAGTTCTAGATTATTGTTTAAGATAATTGCTGCACTGGATCAACTGGGTGGAGGAGCAAGAAGGGCAAGATGGAGACGATTGTAAAAGACTTTTCTTTTCTGAGTTTTTGTCTATTAGACTTCCCTGTAATGTCCCTATACTAGACATTTGATTCTTGCTAAGTAATATTCTGTATGCATATCTGGGGCAGAAACTAAATTGCACATGTACGTATAATATGATTTTCCATGAAACTTTAATAGTGCTCTTATTACCTGATACCGAAAAATAAACATCTAAGCAGTCTTGTATATCTTTGTAAACATTACGTGATACATTAACAGAGAGCATACATTTAAACCCCGTTTATTGAGGTTAAGTCAACATGCTTGTTACCATATTACCGATATAACACCAAACAAGTTATTTCGAAAAAAAGAAAGAAGGAAGGAAAAGCGGTATTATCAGAACAAAGGAAAGAGTTTGGATAACAGTTGCTGAAAATGAAAATCAAAATTTGTCTATAAGATGAAAAACCACAGTCTTTTTCGATACGCATAGAGTTCATTAAATTGAAATCAGACATGCCGAAATGTTATAGAAGAGCCCTATAGCACTAACGTTCACAATGAAAGAAGGAAGTACTCGTATTCCAACATAAAAACTGAATCAATCGAAAACTGATATCTAGGCTAAGAGATAGTTCATGCATGTTACTGTTAGGCAAAGTTTGAAAAGCGGAATTCTTACGTAGGCTGCCAATTCCGTTGAATGTAATCTGCAAATGAATGTGTGTGTAATAACACGGGAAACTGAGCACCTTCAATCCACCTAAAAACCCTATTCTATTATTCCTTTTTTTAAAAAAAAACACACAGCAACTTAGATACCAGAACGTTTTGCGCTTTTTTCCGGAGTCTCATAGAAGATAACCATTTGGGAAATGTTCTGGTTCTTAGACAAGATGCGAGTTTCGTGTAATGTCATACAATTTGTAAACAGAGGTGCAACTAAGGAGACGTGAAGAGCCAATTTTGAATACATGTAACACACCATTCCGGCAGGCACATAACAAAAAAAAAGACAGTCATGTTGGGACATCAATGCAAATAATAATATGTCGGGTTGCACGAATTATGTTATAGCAAACGCATGTATATAAAACTATACCATGGTCGAAGCCACCTTCAATATTAAATATTTACTCTCCCATTTTCAGCGATTATTCCGCCCGCTGTCCAATAAACTAAAGATAAGATGGGGAAATGAATGCATAGTAGTGCATCATGTAAGAAAAACCTTGTGTAGTTTCAAGTTTGAGATAAGACTGAAGGTTTTGTGGTATACGACAAGGGAAGAGGGAGGGGAGACGGTCACGATTCCGGCTACACCCTTTCTGTCCGGATCGGAAAAATGTAATCATGCGTAAGCTAAAAGCAGGGGATGATACACATGTTATTGATAAACAATTTTACAAAAAAAAAAAAAAAAACTGGAAAACGCATCAGTTGAACTCCTGAATAAAATACAGACAAAATGTGAAGGAACTGGGCCTATTATTGGCAACTGATGCCTGAGAGGTTCCTTGGTCGCATTCGATTAACGTAAACCACGTTCACTTGGCTAAACAAACAGCAGGGGTGCCTACTGACCGGTCGTCAAAATAAGTTTGGCCTGCGAAATCATATTCAAATTGAGAACAAACATGTTATGTTGGACAATCGGGGTTATTTAACAGTCACAATGGATGACCGGGACAGTGGGTCTCAAATATATGTAGACACTAAGGACGCATTCAGAAGAGCGGAATAACAGATCCCTGGATCAAATATGGCGACCCATTAAAAAGCTTGCCGCTTAATTCCCGATTAGACACTAATTGGGATTCCTCGCGGGGATTACGCAACAAGCATTCAAGTGGGTTAGCCACGTTTGATCCGCGGATCTCTTAAGTCTGGTGTTCTGAATGCGCTCTAAGGACGTTAAATAATTGGAGTCATTGTGTGTTCAAGGTCATCTATTTGGGAGGTCCATTGGTTTTTTTTTGTACCTGTATATGTAGTTGTGTCTGTCACCCTGGATCTAAGAGGTCACTTTTCCTATACTGGAAACGGCAGAGGGTGGCGATAATAGAGATAATTTTCCAGTAAGTTCTGAAACCCTGGGTAGTACATGTAGTTAGGGGCGTAGTGATACGTGTATAGGTTCTGAGAACAGCAAAATGAATGTCTAATCTCGAATTCTGATTTTTTTCTAAAATCAGACGAATAAATTTAAATATTATTCTGATGTACCAAGCGACACACATGATTATTTCATTAAACTAATTTCACTAAACTGTCGAACGTTTTTGTTTTTTTTTTCAAGGAAAAGTCAGGCACGCAAAGCTTAATTCTATCACTGATTCATAAAATATAGCTTTCGTGTTTTCGCTTTCATGTTAGGTTTTTTATAAACTGAAAATGACGTGAACTAGACTTCTGTCTGTCATGGATTTACAGCAACTCCCCTATTCATCTATCTCTAATTAAAGGGATAATAACTCTTCGTATGAAATCTGTATTTCACAATAAAAACATTGTGAGTGACTCATAAAAATATAATATATACTGTTTTCCCACAAAAACGGCTGTTATAGCTATTATTCTGATATCTGAGCTTGTCTTTAGACCACGTGACCTCCATTGATGGCTATACTCTGTTAAAATCTCTTAAGAGATTTTAACAAAAAACCAAACTTTTTAGAAAAAAA